GATTTGCGCCACGTAAAAGTTACAAGCTAATTGTTATGTCCACCGAGTTTTGTAAATAAATGATTCATTAAATGATAATGATGACTTAAATTAATTAGTTTTATTTATTCAATTAAAATACTACTTCTAAGTACATCTGGGTTGGTACCATCCAGCAATTCGGTGCTCGCACCGCTGTGTTCAAATTTGAAGGGTATATATTACCGGGTGTGAGGCATTGCATCTAGGTCCGCAGAGGTGACAACGCATTTATTTGCCTTCTTTGTTTGAAGTTAGCTTTTGATGTCCATGGATTGCAGGAGCCACTTACCATCAAGTGGACTGTAAGTTGCTTTGTCACTTATTTTATAAAAAAGATCAGTTTTAGTGAAAATAAAGCGGGTATAATTATTCCGGTCTTTTTGTTATCATGTTTTTACGTCCCTCGTAATTGTAAAGACATATTACGGTATGGTCGAACTATAATTGCTCTGTAATGAATATATCGTCTTGAGATCCCCGGTGTCCCTCATGACATTTGCGTATTTATTTTTTGCGTATTTATTTTTTTCGCGCCATCTGTTGGTATGGGTGAAATACGTACTGTGTTTAAAACGTGGTTGCGGCTTGCGCGAGAGTTTTTTGCCTTTTTAAATATTAATTGACCACAGTAGAGTTGCTAGTCGATTCCGTGACATCTATAGTGGAGTTGTCGAACTAAACGGATGGTATATCTATCCATAAATATATTCTATATATAGTACAGCCCCGTCCCTGGAATACTGATTACTTTTAACGAATTTTACAAGATCACATAATACTGCAACTATATACATAAAACTAGTTGCAGAATTATGTGATCTGATGAATTATGTAAATCATAAAAAATAAAACTCAATTTAAAAATAATAATCATCTTTATTCAGGCAAGTTACACCTATAATCGGTAAAATCAATGAATTAAAAATTAAGCAATCTACACAATTTTAGAAATAAATGTCGATCAATCAAAAATTTCATCAAAGTAACAATTTTAAAATAATAAATCCAACATTCATTATAAGTAGGCAGTAATGACAGTATATAAAATAAATTAATCGAAATAAAATAAAATTTAGTTTATTTACCTAAGACCTTGGTATTTAAAATAATAAAGCAACTTATCTACTACACAATCATAAGAAAAATAAAATAAAATGCACAAATTACGAAAAAATTAGTACAATAGACAAAAAAATGGCAATTTTTATAAAAAAAACTTAAATATTCAATATCTTGAAAACGGTATGGTGTTTCATAGTCGAAACAGTAGGTAATGATGCAAACTACAACCCCCTAAAGGATCGAGGTCAACTTAACCTGTAACCCTGTATATATATTTCGAAATCCCTGTATATATATTCCAAATTATGATTCAAAATGCAATCAACTTGCTAAAGTTAAATTTATTTTTACTAAATTATAGTACAAATTTTCTAGGTTGTCTATATAAATATAATGTTTTATCATTTTAATTTCAGGCTTGAAGGTGACTAAGCCCAAAAGAACTCAAATTAGTACAAGAATTACTGTGTTAAAAAAGAAACTTAAAAGCTTGAATATAGCAAATGAGAAATATTCAAAAAGACCGAAAGAAAGCAATGAATCTATCAGAAAATACTACTTTCTTGAAAACAAAAGTTTTACCTCAATGGCAACAATTTTTACGATGCTCCAATTTCGAGAATGTGGTAAACACAAAAAGGGCAGGCGATTCACACCTTATGAAAAAGTGATGGCATTACATTTTTTAAAACCTGGGTCAAGAGCCTACAGGATACTGTCTAAGGCCAATATTAAGCCTGGTATAAATGAAAAAATATTTTACCAACTTAAGAAGCAAGCATCTAAAATGAAAGCCAATGATAAATCTTGGTTTTTGATGAAATGGCCTTAACACTACATATTGATTATGACAGGAAAAATGACAGGATTACTGGTTTAGTTGACAATGGTGATGTAGTGAGGACGGAAATAGCTGATCATGTGCTAGTGTTTATGATTAGAGGTATTCTAAAAAACTATAAACAGCCGATATCATATTCATTTGTGCTGGCAGTTCAAAAAAAGCTGAATTAGCCTTAAGAGGGCATATTCGATTTGCGTTGAAAACTTCATGTTTTAGGGTTTTTTCAAGGATGATATCGGTAACGATGTGAGCAGATTATATGCAGAAAATTGGAAAGATGAAGTCGTTATTTAGTGCAATGCAATGGAAAATCATAGTTTTTAATGACAGTTTTTTAGAGAACTGTCATTAAAAATTTGTTAGACGAAAAATTAATGGCGTTGCTCATAAACTCATAATGAAACAAAGCCCCAAAAGTTATAAACTATTAGAAAGAATGTTTGCCTTGCCTAATAAACGGACACTGTCAGAAACCTTCTCAGAAAGTCTAAATAGACTTTCTGAGAAGGTTTCAATACAAGCAGGACTCAATCCATTAATATTTGAACATATATCAAATACAACCAAAAAATGGGACACTAAACAAAAGCTATGCACAATAGTTTTGATGAAGTCTCTCCGACACCACATTTAACTTTTAATGAGAAAGATGATATAATTAATGGGTTTGTAGATATAGCTGGAGAGAGAAAACTAAAATATTGTGCTCATACTTTAGTTTTTATGCTAAGAGGAATATGTTTTTTTTTCTTTATTAACTGGCTTTACGGCTCTGGTTCCTAGACCTTCTGAGCCTATCCTTTCTTTTGAAATCTTCATTTTATGTACTTTTTCTTCACAATATGCTGATGCGTCACATTGCGAAGCCTTTGGGAGATTTTAGCGGGCTACATACGACACGATATCGGTGGCGATCTAGGGTGGAAAGAAATCGGGGCTTTTATCGGGGTAGACCTTACACACGGGCCTGCCTAGCAGTACGCGTTCGGACTTGGAGCGGAATGCATATGCGGTAGAGTTCTTCAAAATATCTCCGACTCTCTTAAAACACCACCGTGTTGGTTTGGCATTAGCCATCTCGGTTAATTTATTCGAAAATAGAAAAAGAGAAGTTGCTGGGTGAAAAAATGGCTCCAAAAGAGATAAAAATTAAGCCACATAAACGTACTAAATGGCCTGTAATCCAAGGACGTGATTAATTTTCTCCGGATGGATGAAGACAGTTTTTATAACCTTCTAGAAATGATTTCGCCACTTATATAAAAACGTCAGTTTCTCCTACCTATGCTATTTAGTTATTTCTTCTCTTTGTTCATTTCTGCTTTGGTCAAAATCTGGTACACACAACAAACAAGGAAATAAAATACTTTTGTATAATAATATGTATACTTTTTTTTAAATGTAATCTTTATTTATGGAGTAAAACTATCAGAAAATAAAATAGCTTATATCTTTTTTTAAACATAAAGAAACCTTTAATTTCGGACATACTCCCTTTTATATAACTTGTTTGTTGATGTGGAGATGGTGAAGGAGTAGAAGTTAGTTGTTGATAAGAGGATGAAGACACGTAAGAGATCGAAGTTGTAAGAGATATGAGTGCGGTCTTGTGTTGATAGCGTTGGAATAGGAGTTAGTTGTTGAGGAGAGGCTTTATCTTCTCCTTACTTACATCATACACTCTACTTTACGAACGGCAATAAAAAAATTAGTTTAGTAGGCATTCTTGACTATGTCACTTCGTAGGGTCACAGGCTAGGGTGGATATGATTTGAATTTCGATAAAATTTCAATTAATTTATTTATTTTATTCACTTTTTTTTGGTTTTTTGTAAAATATCAGTGCCATAGGCATCTACTCCGTTTATGTGATTAAAATGTAAAAATTTTGTTATATAAAAAAGGTCATTCATTATCACTGTTTTGTTAACTTCCTTCCGCGAGGGTTGCCGGCAGCGACTGCCAAAAGAAATCGGGCCGATGCGCCTACACACACGCAGTAAGGAGGGGGCGGTGCCCCGATCTAGGAAGCATCGGCTGATCTAGGAAGCATTTTTGCTCCTGCCAGCCGATTAAGGAGGCGATATCGGCCACGACTTAGGATGGCCCTACATACGACACGATTTAGAGGCAATCTAGGAGGCATCCCCACTACTCCACCCTAGATCGCCACCGATATCGTGTCGTATGTAGCCCGCTTTTGACGACAGCTCCTTAGTGAACAGTTGAGGACGACAGCCACTCAAGTTCATAAGGCGCCCAAGCGATCAAAAGAACTTGAGGTTTATATCGACATCAAAGCACTTGTTTCGTCTTTTTCTTCCTTAATTCACAAAATCGCATCACTTTTACGAATCAAAATCCACTTCAAACCATTATTGAAGCGACAAAACAGGAGCGACAATTCGTCTAAGGCCAAGTTCCCGCTAAAACTCCAAGAGGAATATGCTCTCTATGGAGACAGAGTGTAGTATTTTATTTTTGTGAAGGCACAGTATCAGCAGCAGAGCTGCAATGCATTTTAACCCTTTCCTTCCTTACGGTACTGTACCGGCTCCTTTTTCGTCTAATACATTGAATACGCAAACACTTGTGTGTGTTAAACTCACTGGCGACACTTCAGAGAGCGATTGACGGGAGCAAATAAGAGCACACAATTTGGTCTATCGCTAGAACCGACCAATCAATTTGATCTGCAAGTAACAACTTGTCTTGCATTCAGTGAGTTCGCCTTGCGGTGTATTTGTTATAGTTTTAAAAATATAATATCATAGGTAAGTTCAAATACTTTCGATTATATAGTAAGTTTATATTATCAAGTAGATTTCTAAATACTTGCATGATGTATTATTTCCTTACCTTATTTCATGTTTATATTTTATAAAAACCGACGAGAACTAAAAAGTACCGTCAGAAACTTTTGGTCTTATAATTTACTGAATTTTATGATAATTATACACGATGAATGGATAGTTTGTTTCGTTATATATCAATAATTATTTTCTTATTATTGTTCCATTTTTGTTATAGATGTACGGTAATGGATATTTCTAAAAAACTGCCCTCATTGAAGCTCTGTTAGAGGATCTTCCAGATTGTAGCGAAGATTCTGATGTAGGTGTTTCCGATGAAGTCGAAAAAGATCTTCAAGTACTCTTATCGAGAGGCTTCAACGACTATTTTGAGGAGGCTATTGAGAGGGTCTTAGCTGAAATTCCTCCATCGCCGACAAATGAAGAAGTGCCATCAGGTTGTTCTGTTGATCAGGTATATACATCTCTAGTCCCTATCCCCAGTCCCCAAATTGCTCTTCCTTCAACAAATACGTCCATGCCTACAGCTACCCGACCGAAAGTAGTAGAACCAAACCGTAAGTGGAAGAAACGAAACTTAGAGACAAATATATCGGAATATAATGCAAATACTGAAGTAGTAGAAGAATTTTTTGCTCACTGTACCTACTAAACCGACTGATATATTTCGTGTATTGATTGACGATATATTAGATGGGATTGTATAACAAAGTAACCACTACGCTACGCAGAAAGGCAAGGTATTGAATCTAAAAAAGGAGGAACTTTTAGCATTTATTGGTATGAATTTCTATATGGGCTACAATACTCGACTGGCTTGGACAGACCATTACCCTTCGGCATCTGATCTTAACAATCCACCTATATGCAACACCATGCCAAGAGACAGATTTGCTATGATTTTATCACATCTACACTGCAACGATAATGCTCAAATGCCTAAAAACTGCAAAGATACGTTGTATAAAATAAGACCTATTGTTGATGCTGTCAATAAAAAATTTCAAGAGTGCTATCATGGGACCCGTGAAATGAGCGTGGACGAATCGATGATCAAATTCAAGGGTAGGTCTGTACTAGAATAGTATCTACCCATGAAACCAATCAAGAGAGGATATAAGTTGTGGTGTCTTGCAGACCAGAGGGGCTATATAAAAAAAATCAAATTTAGCAAGGGAAAGATGAAAAAAATGAGCGCAAATTTTTCAAAATATAGCTTGGGAGAAAGAGTAGTTTTAGAATTGACAGAACAAGAATGGGGTAAAGAGAAAATTGTCTATTTTGATAATTTTTTTACATCTGTTGCTTTACTTGAAAAGTTGAAAACTGAGAATACCTACGCATGTGAAACAGTCAGAAGTAATAGAAAAGGACTGCCTCCAAATACGCTCCCTGATTCAAAAATGAAAAGAGGGGAAAGTGATTACAGATTTTCAAACCTAGATATTGGAAATGGAAAGATAACAAATTAGTACATTTACTCTCTAATTTTCATGGAAATGAAGAGGCAACTGTGTCACGTAAAGAAAAAATGGGTCTAAGTCTACAATAACATGCCCAATGGCTGTCAAACATTACAACACTTACATGGGGGGCATAGACACAGCTGATCGTTTGAGAGCCCTTTACTGTATAGATCGCAAGTCTCCAAAATGGTGGCATAGGTTTTTCTGGGGTTTACTGGACATAGCGTTTGTCAACGCTTTTGTCATTCATTGAGTTATATTTGAGAAGACTACCGTAAAAGACTTTCGACGCTCTGTTACTCAAGGCTTGATGACAATGAAAAATGCTGGCCAGAAAAAAAAAGGTTTTCTTCAGATAATGCTCCAAGTTCTGGGTCCTTCTAAAAGGCGCAAATCGAATTATTCTACTCTGAGAGACGTCCGTTTGGGTAATAGGTATATACTATTATATGTACATTGTAAAATTAGAAAGAAAAAGGTATATATATTGTAAAATTTCATGTAAAAAAATCAATTTGTAAAAAAATGGTTAAAAAAGTCTGTTATTGTAACCAAATAAGAAGTATCTTTTGGCGAAAGATCCAACTGTAAAAGAAATTAAATTAAAAAGTACTTTTTTTTCAGATTATTTTCATACTGCAAACTCTGACGCAACAATGGCCACAACAGCAGAAGTTGTTGAATTCTTCGACACACTGTTTGACAGCGTCAATGGCTACCCGGGTGGTGTGCAAAGAGGAAAGTTAAGACGAGCGGTTAAGCAAAATTCACAACATCACACTTTTTGGATTCAGGCCATTAATAAAATAAAAAATAATGGTTTTTGTAGACACCAGTAGCAAACATGCTACAAAAGCAGGAAAACCTCGACTTGTGCGAGTGCCATCCCAACAAGGATGGGTTACACACTTGAAAGTTTTATAAGGGTCTCCAAATTATTATTTGAACAGTATAATGTAGAATATTATTATCCGAGGAACATTAATCAAGACCCATTAGAATATTTTTTTGGAGGTATAAGAGCTATAAATTATAGAAATGGTAACCCAGATGCAAACACATTTATATATGCCCTTAAATCTTTGATATTATCTAACATGCTTAGTCCACATTCCAAATTCTCTAATTGTGAAGAGGATAATGGAGAAACATTATTAAATGTTAGTGTTCTTTTTAAAAACCTTCATAATAATAAAGAAAATGAATCTTCTTCACAAGCAAGTTCAAGAGAAAAATTGCTGGTGAACGATGTAGTCATGGAAAAAATTAAAGTCCACTGCTCAGCTTACACTGCTGGATACATTTGTCGGAAAATAACGAAAGCGATTCGTTGTACGGATTGCATCAAAACATATATAAGCAGTACGGAGACAAACATTCACTCTTACATTAAATTTAGAGAGTATAAAGTGTTAAAAAATAATAATTTGGCATACCCTAACGAAAAATTCCTTATCTTGTACAGAGATGGTACTCACTTTATTCATAACTATTTGAATTATAGCTGTACTGGAAGTAATATAAGAATTTGAAAAGAAAAATATTGAGCACTTTAAGTTTTTCCTGCCTAGGGTGTGATAAGCATGCCTTAATTGTCAATTTTTCATCAATATTTTAATTAGATTACATGGACACAATTGGTGCAACATAAATAACAAAATATTGAAGGGTGATATTGAGGAAAAATATGTATCTAAACTGGGTGAACCCCAAAAATTGGCCTTAAAGAAGTATAAAAGTTTTAGGTTAAGAAAAACGTGTTTAAGTAAATAAAATGTTGATGAAGTGACGACCTGGATATGCTGGTGGCTTAGGACCGTGCTTTGTGGCATTTCTTGAGGGAAGCCTACGTTCAGCAGTGGACTTATGAAGCGCTGTAATGATGACGGTGGTGAAATAAAATGTTCGATTCCTGAAACGTAAACGCTGTTTCAGGTCCCCGCAAAGCAAGTATATAACGGGACGATATTGCGACAACTTTATAATTTGTGATTGCGAATGGATATGTTGTGTGTGCGGACAGGTACGTATGGCGCCGAAGCCGCCGGGAGGGGCCGTTCGCGACCCCACGCGCCCGTACCAACCTTTTAAAGGAGGCCCACTGACCGAGTGCTGCACACTAAAGTTGTTCAAAACGACTATAAATCAATAGCACGCTACAGACTATAAACTAGAAATTTCTAACGCGCTATTAAATACGCTATGTTATAGCGCGCTATTTATAAAAAAGTGTGGAGGAGGCCGGCAAGCGCGTTAAGTTTAGCAGCACGCTATATCTCGGAGCACGCTACATTAGATGTCGTTCATTGGATAGACCGCGTGCTTTATAAGAATATTGTTTCGTAATAAGTCGCATTTTAGATTAAGATAAAATTAAGTGGTAAAAAAAATCCATGAAAGCTCTTTCATACTTTTCAGGCTTACGACTTTCTATAACCCTAAAAATATTTTTAAGGCGTGTACTTTTTAAAACAAAATAAAATTAATCATTTTTATTATAATTGTAAATGTTATTTTAACCTTAATATAAATTATAAATCAATTAAAGGTGTATTTAAAAGTTATTGATTGTATATACAAAAATCAACTATTTATAAACACTATTATATACAATTTTGTATCTATATTTTATTTACATCTAAAAACATTAGTTAGGCTTCTTTTGTAGCAGACAACTGTGTCCTTCGATCACTTATAAATATATACAGTATGCACTAGCTATAACTATTATGTTCTCTCCTTATTAGATAGTTATGTGCCTACACTATCGTATTAGGTACGCCTGTAAAGACAGAGGTAGAAATAAATAAATAAATAAAGTTACTCCTTAAAAATCTCTGATTGATGTTGATATTTGTTTATTTTTCAGATGCTTATCATGGAACAACCTCCAAGTGAAAGTACCAACACCAAGGAGATAAATGTTCTTTTTAAAAGTAATTTATATTTTTTATAGGATAGGGTGACAAACGAGAACACAGTCCACCTGATGGTAAGTGATTGCTGTGGCCCATAGACATCTACATCTATCTTCGATTACGAATCAAAATGCATATGCGTTGTCACCCGTGAGGACTAAGATGGAATGCCTCGTTTCCAGTAAAAAGGGGTCTCCGGTTCTCTACACTCACCATACGAAACACAGCAGCGTGAAGCTGCTATTTTCCGCTGGTATTCTCTGAGAGCGTGGTCCCTCCCCGGTCGAGCCGACCCATTCGTGCTACAACTATACCAGTAATATACCTGCAGTATGGCTCTACCACGTACAATTGCCATATAACTTAGTTATATAATAATATAGATCACTTTTTAATTACGATTATACTAAACTGTCGTTAACAATAGCCATACAGCGTTAATACATACAAGTAGTACAGTCATCAGTTACAGAAGTATACATTATATATTTGTTCTTTAATTTTGGGTTTATGTATAAGAACATAAAATTCTCTTATTGTTGGTTTTCAGGAATAGAAATCTAATGCTGATTTGGTGAGACAAATGTTGCCAGAAGATACAAAATGTACACATTGGCAAAAAGGTATGATAAATTCAGTTTATTCTTAGACATAATTAGGTAAGTTTCAACATATCTTTTTTTTATAAAGAATATTAACAATGCTATAAACATTACTAATATTCCCCTTAACCACTCGTGGTAAGCTTAAACTGCTTGTGTTACGAGTTTGAGTGTTTTTTATTTCTTATTTACTGCATCTACCACTACCACACCATGGGTTGACCGATAAAAAAATGCCAACTGCCGTGAAGCCACCCTTTGTTACCTTAAATATAAATAATATATAATTAATGATTATCATTAAGACATAAAATATGAATATTGGACTTTATTTTTATTTATTTCTTTTCAGGTTACGTGGTGTAGAAAATGAAATTAAAGAAGAGATGTTTTTTTTTTAAATTTTTGTAAAAGAATGGCCAGGTTTACCCTAGATGAAAAATAAATAGCATTGCTTCTAATAAAAAATAACGTGAAAAGTAAAATATTAAGCACTTAAATATGATTCCTGTGGTTTAATTTGTTTTATTTAATGAACTATAACTATTGCTCTGTTTCTCGTCAAATTGTACTTTTTTATGTAAAATCTTATGTACAATTTTCTAATTCGTTTATATAACTTAATGTGCCTTTAATTTAATCCTAAGATTACGTGTGTATGTTTATGATGTTGGTGTGCTTGAATAAAAAATAAATAAGGTAGATGTATTATAATTGTTTCATTAGGTAATATTATTATTCCTGTATAATGCACTTATGTCGATATCGATAAAATAAGAACACCACTAAACATCGATATCGATAATTTGAAGGATGTGTGCTTGCAATCCCTAAGCTATACATAGCTATACTAAATTGTAGTCATTACTCATCTGTCAAACTGAGCGACTGCAGTGCCAAAAGGCGTAGTTGGGAAACTTGACTAAAAGTCACTGTCGTATCTGTAGCTTTCTACATATTTATTTATCTATGATTCAGTACGCATCGGGTCTTCCCAACGACAGGATGTATCACTTTTTCCGTCCACCGCCAGCGTACGTGTTATTCACACCTATAGCGTAAGCTAGTGTTACCTAATGTCCCGATTTGTGCGGGACGTCCCGCTTTTTAGGGATACGTCCCTATTCACCCTTGATATTATATTTCGATCGATCATTTTGACAACAAAATTGAATATATCTGCAAGCTGCTACTACATTAAAATACTTTTGCTTTGCAACATATTGTTTTTAGACATCGTGCTCAAAATAATTAAAACTTTAAAAGATAATAATATTTTACTGCCGTTTTGCGTTTACGTTCTATAGTTTACTTTTTTACATAGTGACGTGACGTGACTAAAAGAATCGTATAAAATCGATTACAGACAGATTCTTTTCGCGAGTAAAAATCTGTCAACACTGCGTCCACCTTGTGATCACGACCGCCATTTTGTTTGTCTCTTTTGTACGAGTGCAGAAGCCTCGTAACCGATATCCGTGTTCAG